GACAATCATAAAAGCTAATAGTATTTTAGATGGTATTGTGAGTAGTGTAATATTTAGGAAGAAAGAGATGATACACTGTACAATGCCATGTTCAGACCACATCTGAAGTATTGTGTTCATTTCTAGGCACTTTTTAGGAAGGGTAATGGAAAATTGTAGAGAATCTGGTGGAAGATAGACAGGATTGATAAAAGGTCTCCAGATCACATCATTACAAGTTCATTGGAATGAAATGAGTTCTGCATATGTCCCTCTCCACACATCCCTACCCATTGAACCATACCTCATGACTAGAAGGAAAAAACAGCACCAAGCTAGATAGTATATAAATGTTTCCCATCCACCCTGCCTCCCCCCCTTAATCTTTTCAAAAAATGGAGAGAGGAATACATTTTCTCATCCTTTCTTGGGGGAAAAGCTCAGTCATTATAATTAAACAGTATTTGTTTTCATTTGGTGGGAGAACTGGGTGCCTAAAGAAAGAAAACTGGGAGGGAGAGGGGGAGGGAAGGACATGACAATTTTCTGTTTATCATGAGGAAGAGTGATTAGACTTTGTTTGGCTCCAAGAGCACAAATTTAATTGTAAAGATTTGGGAAAGTCGTAAAGTAGATGTTTGTTCAGGTATGGTATTGCTGTGATGTTTCCTGAGGTCCATTCCAACTCCGTGATTCTGTGATTTAAGACTGCTTTGTCTGTGACTTAGTCCAGAGCTGTGTATGTAGTAGGTACTTAATAAATAATTTTTGAACTGAATTTTCATAATGGGTTTACCTTTTTTTGGCCATTCTTAACTCTAAATGTAGGTGTCATGATTGTTTTGTTTTTTTATCTCTTTGCAGTTCTTTTTCTACAAGTCTCTGCCCATTCTGGACTTTTACCTGGTTTTACACTACTTTTTAATATACATCTATTTAAGGGCCCTTTCATCTATTGCTTGTATGCATTCCTTTTAAAGCTTAAGTTCCATGGAGAGCCTCCTGTTCATTTACTTTGTTTTCTTTACATACATTCTCCTCTTCCTTCTTTTTTTATTGGAATTATTTGTGATTCTATTGTCTGTCAGGATTTCAGTTTAGAGAGCCTCCTGTTTCCCTGTTGAACTGTAGAGTCTTTGACCTTCTGCTCATACCTAGCTTTTCCTTGAACTTTAAAAGAAAAAAATTCTATCTTTCTCATATATAACCATAAAAAATAACATGCTGAATTTATTACATGTTTTTTTAAAATAGCACATGATATGTAATATTCATGGTTTCTCATATACTCTTCTATTCTTCTTTGTATGTGGAAATTTTTTCTTTTGGGGGGAGGGTGTTAAATCTAGATTTTTTTTTTTAAGGCAATTGCAGGTAAGTGACTTGCCCAGGGTCACACAGCTAGTAAGTGTCAAGCGTTTGGTCTGAGGCCGGATTTGAACTCAGGTCCTCCTAACTTCAGGGCCGGTGCTCTATCCACTGTGCCACCTAACTGCCCCAGTTACCTATGTTCTTAATTTGACTGTGTGATCTATAGTATATACTACAAATATCCTTGTGTTTGTCACTTTATTCTGTCCTAAATACATTCCACCATATCTTGGTCCTCATATTTTTTGGGTTTGGCTTTCAGTGTAGGTTTATGTGTTCTTGACTTAGGGAGTTGCCCATTTGTCAGATTTTTCTTTTTTAACAGAGAGACCTTTGTTACCTTTTGCCTATTAAAGGCAGAAAGAAAGAAGCCGTAGGAGTGATTGAAGATGCTAGAGAGATCAGTGTGCACGCAAGCAAACTTTCTTGGAGATGACCTCCACACCAGTAACATGTCTGTTAAAATGTAATCAATTCCTTTATCCCCCAATGCAATTTGGTGCTTGCCATGTCTTCAACTTTCTATGTCTTTTTCTTGAAGACAGCATTCATTGTACATAGGTGAGAAAAATGTGTTGTATTCTTATTTGTAACTTGTAAAACATGTAAGAATTGCAAAGGGATGGAATCTAGGGTACAAGTAGAATGATTAACCTTAGGGGAGAGGGTTCCTTGTGGACTAGAGGGAAGGATTAGAGAGGGTGATTAGGGTAACCTGTGCTAGATGGGGGATGAAATTGTCTAATGAAAGTGAAAATGACAATTTGGGTTTGGGCAACTTTGGGGAAATTGCCTGATTATCTACCAAGCAAATGCTTTGTATCCCAGTATCATGTTTCAGCTTTAGTGGAGTTAGCCTAAAACCTTTTAAACTTATATGTCTCCATGTAAATTGCCCCAGCTTTGTTAGTTGTGTGTAACAGCAAGTGGTATGATGTCTGTGCTTAAAGCCCACTGCCATTATACAGTAAATTGTCATTAACTAAATTGCTTAGGGATTGAATGTTCTAGTTAACTGAGTTTTCCGGAAAATTCACATTCTAACCTTTGAAAATCTTTCTAAAATATGTCACTTTCCTGACATAGTAATTTTCATATCATCATAGATGTAGGTGGAGAAGGTAGCATGACATAATGTTTAAAGATCTGGGTTCAAGTGCTACCTCACACATACTAGCTATTTGACACTGGGCAAGTCACTTAAACTCTAAGTGCTCTCTCTGGGCATCTCCATAAATGTAGGCAACTATAAGATGCAGAACAATTTTCCATCTGTATTGTATTGGCAAAGGGAGTTTTCTCACCATGAATTTCCTAAATTAAAGAAGTTACAATTCTGTACCTCAAAAAGAATATTAATTTTTTTCCCCTGAATACTTACCCTTAGTTGCTCTTTTTTAACTACGTAGTTAGTCTTTTCCCTTGTCTTAGTAGAACAATGGAGGAGGAATCTGGATTTTTTTTAAAGATTTCATTTTAATCCCTGTTTTAAACTCTTGATTGAAAGCTTTCCAACATGTATTCTATATTTCTCTGCTCCTTTAAACAAAGGATACTGAATTTTTGTGATGCAGAGATACTTTTGGGTTTTTGAGGGGTTCAGAACACAGACAGCTATATTCATCTAGTGTTTCTTTTCAGATTTCTTTCCTTTGCCCTCCTCAGTTTCTTTTTATACTTGATCAGTGATGACATCTTGCGGGTATGAACCTGCCTCTAGCTAAACCATTTCTTCATATGTATAATATCCTCTTCTGAATTTTATCTTCTAGTGTTTTATGGTCTGGGAAACTAGATAGTCAATTATTACATTTGTGTATAAGATAAGGAAACTGTAAAGAAAAATAATTGACATTATAGTCTCTTTTTTGATCCTTAACAACAATCCCTGTGATAGGGCAGGTGGTATTTGTTGTATAGATTAGGAAACTGAGGTTCAAGTGAGGTTTAGTGACTATTGAAGATCATACAACTAGCTGGGGAATGATAGAAGCCAGCCCTCATGGCCTAGGTCCAGGTAAGTAGGGATGTACAGTATAATAAGATAATAAATGTGTGGGGTGAGTCATTATGTGCAGGCAGTACATAATTTAAAATCAGTAAAAGTTGATTTGTTAACATTGTAATAATTGGAAATTTATTTTAACCAGCTCAGTCATATATCTGTAATATATTGATATTTATATTCCTTATAATGACTCCTTATAATGACAGTACTGGATTCTGAAAAACCTTCTCAAAGATGCAGTCAGGTTTTTTATGGTTTTTGTGTGGTGTTGTTAAGTGTATTTTGTTAATTTCAATTCTTTTGAAAATTCATCATTGATGTTTGGCAAACATCATACACATCAAATGTAGCTATAAATGAGATGTTTTCATTACTTCATAGTCTCACCATATAGATGTCCATCAAGATATTTGATTAACTGGCAGCTCATTCTGCATCCATGCTATATTAGAGAATTTATTTTATATGATAAAGGATATTGATGCTTATACTTAATACTTCATTTTCCTTTTCGTGACTTAATTAATATTAACCAGTGTGTGTCTGTAATCAAATAAATACCTGTATAACCTGGGTATTTTTAGATGCATGTGTGCTGATTCTTGTTAACTGAAAGCAGAATAAATTTTTTTAAGCACAGTTAGTAACCTGGCTACTGTTAAATAGACTCCATGACAAATAAAATTGCCAAAAGTTGAAAAAGAGGAAAGGGAAAAATGGCTATATGTAATGAAGTGGAGGAGAGATTTGAGCCTTTGATTTCATCGGTATAGGGAACACCTAGTTTGGAAACTCCCTCTACTAGTGCTGATCAGCAACTTGTTTGTAATTTATGATCTCTTTAGAGAGCTGCCTGGGTAGCTGAGGATTTAAGTGATACGCATGTACTCATATGGCTAGCAAGTGGTAGAGGTTGGACTTAAATCCAGATTTTGTTCATTTCAAAGTCAGTCCTTTTTCCACTGAACCCTTATGGCTTCTCTAATTAAGTGATAATGTTGTTGGATTGTTTTTTGTTGTTGTTTTTTATCCTTTTGGTTCTGATTGGGATAGGGACTAGACTTGTAATTTCATTGGTATGGGGAGCCTCCTGGCTAGAAAACCTTCTCTAACAATGGATTAGCACCTTCTCATCAACTTAAATTCTTAGAGAGTTGCCTAGAGGTAATTGAGAGGCTTAGCTGCTTTCCTAGGTTTACACAACCAGTATGTGTCAGAGGCAGAATTTAAACCAGGGGTGGGGAACCTGTGGCCTTCTAGGTCCTTGGGTACAGCCATTTTTAACTTTATATGTTGATTTTATTTACTTGTATTTGCATTAAAATATGGCTGATAGTGTTTAAGGATGTTAATATATTTTTCTTCAGCCATGATGGCAACCAAGAGTGAATTTTTCTACCCTATTAAAATGATTTTATGGGGGGGCGGGGAGTTAGGTTGGTTTTTTTTTAGTAGCAGCAGCTTCAAGTAATTAAAATTTAAACAGCTATCTTTCATTATTTTGTGCCATATACATTGTTTTGGAAAATTAATAGCAATCATCTTCTGTTGGAGGAAAAATTAGACTTTTTAAACGTGCCTTTTGAATTTGATGCAGTTTTGACTGTGGGTTAAGGTGACCTTTATACTTGTTCTCTTCCAGATAAAGCTTCTCCAAGGAGGTTGCCCCGGAAACGGGCACAGAAGAGATCGGTGGGATCTGATGAGTAAATGTTCATTTGTGCAACAATTCAATCTTTACTAAACCTGCCCTAACATTTTTTGGCCTGATGGGAATTAGTGCAGAGAAGCCATATCAACATATGAGGAAACTACTACTTCTGTTTGGACTGAGTAATCAGAGCTGTGGCGATAATATTGCTGAAAATGCACTGCATATGTTTTTTCTAAAGTAACAAATTTGGGTTTTTTAAACCATTAAAAACTGTGTGTGTGCGTGTGTGTGTGTGTAAGCAGTTGGTCTTACCAGAATCATTGTTGTACTACCTGAAATGTGCCTTTAGAGTGCTAAATGTAATGCTAGCATGTCTGTACCCCACTTGAAAATTTGTAGTGGTTTTTTTTTTCTTTTCCAGAAAACGTAATGAATAATTGCCTAATCTTATTGTGTAAGGAATTTCTCGTTTTTACTGTCTATCATGCCTTGAACTGTACCGCAGAAAAGAATTTAGCTACTCTGTTCCTCAGAATAGCTACTAATTCAGCAGTGATGGCACAAATTCTCTGGGTGTTTTTTTATATCTGCAACTAGTATTCTAAAGGCACAAGCAGGAGTAGCTGCTTTTAGCAATATAGTATTTTGTTTTGGTATTTTGCTGCTGTTTGCTACAACACGCACATTGGAGAACTTCCTTATATAGATCAAAGAACCCAGATGAATTTATATCAATCTGAGATCTAGCAGCAAAATTGTGAAGCATGAGACTATGTGCTGAACTTGATATATAAATTCCAACTCTCCATACCCTTCCTCATTTTTTAACAAAAAGAAAATAGCACACTTGTGTGAGCTAAATTATTGTGTTGTGTGTCATTGTTCTGTTGTGTCTGATCCAAAAGGTGGCTTTGGAATGATTTTAGATCTATTCAATATTTGTGAATTGGTGATTTTCCTCCCTTCCCCTTAATGGAAACTACCATGACTAGAAATTTCCTTATTCTGCAATTTTGAATAGAAGAAATGAACCTCTAAGCCTCTGTGTGAAGTGGGAACTCAAACTGTAGGACACAGATCAAAAATGTGTTCCAAATTTTAATTTCTGCAGACTCATAAAACAGAGTTGAAAAAGACCTACAGCATCTAGGCCATCCTTCTCATTTTACAGATGAGAAAACTGAGGCCAGACAAAGTAACTAATCTGTATGAATACCAATGAATAAGTTGAATTATACATGTATGTGTGTGTGTATATATATATATTCATGTTATATATTCTATAGGTAGACATAGTTGAATGGTTGGTTTTATTTTTTCCCTAAATTGTTGGTTAATTTTTCCCTAACCTTGTAAGTAGTTTTTGTGCGTGTTTTTGAAGTTTGCATGTTTTTTTTGGTTTTGGTTTTGTTTTGTTTTTTAGTAAATCTGTTTTAGATAGTAGAAATCGAAATATTTAAGAATTGAACTTCCTAAATTTTCTTTGAACTCTTCCTATATTATTTGGCCTTTTTTTTTTGTTGTTTTGCTGTAGTCTTCTGTATATATCAGGCATCATAGGTGTTGTATGTTTAAGAGTCTTGGTTTGAAGATAATTGATATTTAGAAAGTTGTCATTAAGGCCTGTAATGAAATTGACATTTTTGTTAGACTTGAGTAAAGGAAAAACTTTTAAAAGGCTTTTTTCCATGCCATGAAGCCATTTTCTCCTACATGTCTTTGAAAAAATGGAAGGCAAGGTGAAGCTAAAGTTTGCTTTAGCTTTTTGCCTTTACCTTTCTTTCTTTTCTCCCCTACCTCTTTTGAAATCTGCATTTAACCTGCCAAGAATAAACATCTGAGCCAATGACATTTGAATAATACCTGTAGCAGGTTAAAGGAGGGACTGATGTTCCTAAAAACCTGTTTTGATGGTATACTATAAACATAGCATTCCTAAAATTCAGAGTGTTTGGGCTGTTATCTTGGTGTGGAAGACCAATAGTTTATTTTAAAACTATGGTACTTACTATAAAAAAAATAGACATAGCTTGGTTTTTGACAAGCAATATCAGTGAGTACTTAGTAGGAACTAACTGTACAATAAATGGAATTAAATTCCACACATGGTATATTCAAGCACACTTAATAACAAGTAGCCTATTTTTAAAATAACTTTTAAAAATGTAAATATCTGGATGAGTTTTGTTTGGGGTGTATCTACTTAATTTGCAGACCATGGTTTGAGACCCAAGTGTTGAATATGGGTTTTGTGATTAATGATAACTTTTGAAAATCTTGGTTTCACACATCTATAAAATGGGATTAAGATGTTGACCCTTTCCTATCCCCTAGGGATGTGAGGATTAATGTGTCAGTAAAGCACAGATTCTCCTCAAAATATTTGTCATGTTATATTCTTATACAGTAAGTGATTTTCTAAGGTGTTTGCCTACAATTTGTTGTCCTAGGGAGGGAAAGAAAGTAGGTCTTCAGAGTACTGAAGCCCGAAGAAGAATAAGGAGTGGGAATAAAAGCAACTGTAGCAGAAAGAGGAGAAAGACAGAGCTCGAGTGAGAGTTAAATTCAGAAGTTAGAAATTTCAAATTTCAGAATAATTGGCTTTGGTACATAAAGGGGAAGCATATTTTAATACCAAGGGGGAAATGTTTGGCAATCACGCCTAAAAAATATTTCAGATGTTAAATGGGAAAGCTTTTGTAATGATCTTATACAGTGACTTTACTGACACAAAAAGGATTTACGCTTACCCTTATTGCCAAGTTCAAATAGACCTCAAGTGTTCATAAATAGGTAATGTGTAACTCCCCTAGCACCTAACACAGTGCCTTGCACATAGTAGATACTTAATATTTGTTTAATTGAATTATAGTAGCCATAATCAACACCACATTTGATATTGCATCTTCTTACTCATACACATATGGTTAGAGAATTAAATTGATATCTGTGTTTAAAATAGTTGGAAATAAGACATCCTTCTCTGAAATCTCCCTTGTAGATAAACTCTGGAGGCAGTGTCAGTGTATATATAAATACATATAATTTTATAGATTAATACATTTCATATACCACATTTTTTATTCAGCTTATTCATTATTTTAGTTCTAAAACAAGATGTTTGCTAAAATTTAACAACTTCCCAGTTCTACTTGAGGTGTTCCCCATATTTGGGGATAGCCAAATTAACTGCTTGGTACACCTTTGGCCTAGGGGTATTAAAACAACAACAAAAACCTTGCCATCAGCATGAATTAAAAGTATTAGGTTTTATTTGCTAGATTGAATCTCCTATCAGACTTGTGGAATCAAATTTTTTTAAAACTGGAGGCTTGAGCTCAGAGTGTGGTGAAGGGCAAGACGTTTTACATTTTAAAGCTGAATCCGACTCAACATGTTACTTGATGTCTAAAAATTATCCTGCATTATGATCCCTGTTAACTTTGTTAGATAACATTTGTATAGTTTTTAAAAATTATTTTTTACTGCTTAGAATAATCTGTGGCCTGTTAGCCTAATTATATTTGAAGTTATATTTTTTAGGATTGTTTAACAATGTAGTACTAATACTGCAATAATACTTGCACCACCTACCTCATAGGGGTGTTGGAAGGAAAGCACTTTGTAATCTTAAGGCAGTATATAAATGTGAGTTATTATTACTATCACCTTTCTGGGCTTCATTTTATTGTCTATCCTTTATAGTACAGTATTTGGAGCCACTCCCTGATACTCTGATAATAATAGATAAGCATTCTAGAATTGCCAAGCTTAAGTGGAAGCTGCCTAGGAATATTTTGACATTAGCTCAGAATCAAACCTTTGAGCACCTTACTGGTACAAAACTATTTCCCAGGAATCTGAACAGCCAGAACAACATTTCAACCAAATTTTTTGGTGTGTAATACATACTGATAACTTAGTGCTGCCCTTGAGATACTGCTGCAACATCATAGTGTTCAAAGTGAAAACCATCACAAAAAGATGATGTTCAGCATAGTTTTAGTGCTAAGTTTGTGTTCTAAGTCTTTGAAAATTGGCTAAGTACAACAGATATAGTAACTGAATCAAAATATTCGATTCCCCTACCATTATGGAAAAACAGCACTTGATCAGACATTTAAAACCTGTTCCCAGAGATAGTCCTTTATACCACCACCTCCCCTACAATGGTTTTCAAATACCATTTGTCTGAAAGATACAGAATCCTTAAATGTAAGCTCTAACTAACTTTAGAACAGTAAGGTCAAACTTAATAGAAACAGGGGCAACCAAACCATATATAAAAATCCCTGTAGGCTGCATATTAACTTAGAAAACCACACATGTGTATTTCTTTTTTTTTTTTTATTAACACAACACCACATTACAACCAGATAAGTACTACATTTTAAAATCAGATTCAAGCTGCACTTGAGATTGTATGGACCACGTGTTTGCCACCTCTGCCTTAGAGGATATATAGGCCATATTACAAATGAGTAAACTGAGAGATGACCTATCCAATGTCAACCTGTATCGGCTCCCTTCAGGTTTAAGTTTTTGTTTCTCTTTTAATATTACACAACTTGCATACATTCCCAGATACTCAACATAATTTATTAAGTGTTTGTAAACCATATATCAAATACAGCGAAGTATATAAAGGAAAAATATCTGAATGGGGTGAATACCTTTTAACAGGCATCTATTTATTGTAGTATTTTCCAGTTCATTTGACTATTTTTGTTAGTTCATTTAATTCTAGTCAAGGATGGCCAAGCAAGCAGAGGTATGGGTAGATATATGTATTAAATAGAAACTTGATACTGAAATTTCCATAAAGGTAAAGGAAGGTCTATGGCAGATTATTTGGTCTAGAATTATTAAGATCCAGTCCACTTATCACATACTATTACTCTCTAAGATGTTCCTTTCAGACCAAATTGAGCCAGGCAAAATCTTTCAGCACCCTTTTCCAGGCAGCTTCCTTTTTAGCTGGAGAAAAATATTGTTAACTATCACTTGCAAAACTAGCACCATTTAGGATTGAATCCTTTGAACTATTAGTGTGCTAAGTAATTTTTCACATTTGAATGAGTGATAACTTGGGCATTTTTGCATGGACAAAAGTCTTTAACATAAAATCAATAGTGTGGTAACAAATTCACTAACACGAGGAGAAGGTCTTAAAAAGGATGCTTACTTAAGTTTTAGGAAGCCTAGGTTCTAATCCTAGTTCATACTAATTAGCTGTGTAATGCTGGGCAAGTCATTTAATCTGGATCTTCAGTTTCCTTATCTGTAAAATGAAAGGGCTGGATGAGATGATTAACTAAAATTATAGTTACTACAAACCCTTAATTTGATAACAAATTTGGAAGGTGTATGTCTTTTAATAACTATTGGAAAGAACAACACTTATTTGGATATATTTAGTTCTGGACTGTTTAAAAGCAGTCATAATTCAGTGCAACATTCACTGAGCAGCTACAGTGTGTAAAGTACTTTGCTGGTAATGTTTTACATTTGTGTAGTACTTTTCAAATGCTTTCTTATAAATTACTCATGCTATTCCAGTCAAAAGTGGGACACTTTTGAAAGGTACACTTGTATACACAGACTCCACAAAGCACTTATTGTGGCTGGCTAGTTTGCTATTATCCAGAATGGAAAACTTCAAGCAGGTGGTCTCCATGCATTAGAGAACAGGCTTTATTCCACTTGAATTGCTCTCATGTGCACTTTATTATTAGAATTATATGTAATACAGGGCTTTGCATTTCATGTCTCATTCTATTTATAATTAAGTGACCTTGTTATGACTAAAAGAACCTGGGCCTGCTTTTTATCTTGTTCTGCAACCCCGTGGTGCTCTTATTGCCTCCATTAAGTAGAGAATAGGCTGTCATACCATTAGCATTCTACCCAGTGAAGCCAACTACAAATGAAATGGGGGGATAGAGGAGGCACAGCTTAAGGATATTAAATGGCAGTATGAGTTGGAGTATTTTACTGAAGACCACTTAAATGATTCAACTTCCCAGCATACCCCCAATTTATACTCAAGCTCTGTGCTCACAATTCTTCTTTGTTTAGCACCCGATCATCAAGGTCGTGTGCTCTACTTGCAATTAAAATAAACTAAATCTAATTTCAAAAGCTAGAGCAAAGTTATTTCCACAGCCTAAAGAAATAGCACTTCTTAAATCTGGTTCAATGAACAATCCTGTACAATGCTTTTTTTGTTGTTGTTGTTCTTTGCATATGAGTCAGTCTGTGATTGTTTCCATCCTATTTATATCCTTCATTTCACTGTTAAACTTCCAGAACATTTCTTATACCTGCTGCTTCACCACCTGTCTACTTCTTAAAAACCTTGTACGCTATCATTCACTCATCAGTCTACTGAAACTGCTCTAAGATATCTACCCCTTCCCAATCCAATTATCTTTTCTCAGTCCTCATCCTCCTTTACATCTTTGATGTATTTGACCACTCTCCTTCCCTTGAAACTCCTCTTTGACACTCTATCAGTTCTACTATTACCACTCATTTCTTCTGCTGACTATTCCCTTGTTCCTTAAGTCTTAGGAACTTACCTATTCTTATCTGTTCTTGTTGTTCAGTCATGTCCAATTCTTCATGACCCTGCAGGACTATACTCTCCATAAGGTTTTCTTGGCAAAGATGCTGGAGTGGTTGGCTATTTCTTTCTCCAGCTCATTTTACAGATGAGGAAATTGAGGCAGACAGGATTAAGTGACTTGCCCAGGGTCACACAGCTAGTAAGACACCCTAGATTTGAATTCAGGTCTTCCTGACTCCAGGCCCAGTACTCTACAGCAGCTAGACAGTGCAAACAATTGCTGGCTACTTTCTTAAATCCCTCTTTGAATATGCCGTTGCTCTCTTCAAGAATCTCCTGTGGCTTCTTGTTGTCTACCACATCTAAACTCTTCTTGATTTTTCAAGACCCCTAGATATTTTCTATTCCTGTCCAACCTTATTTGTCCTCCAAAGCTCACTAGCTGAAGGCCTTTCTTCCCATTTATTTAAGGCACACTTTCTCCCGTTTATGTTTGTACATTGTTTACAGGATATAAAGTGCCTTACTTAGAGCAGCCCTGTAAGATAAGTAGTACAAGCATCAGTCCCATTTTACAGAGGCGATATGCCCTTCCCTCTATCCAAATTATAGATCTATATCCACCCTTTAATAAATCCTGATACTACCTCTCTGAAACTTTCCCTGATTATTCTTAGTCCATAGTGACCTACATTTTTGAATTCCTATACTACTTTTATTCTGTACCTCAGAATTTAGCACTTGATTATATACTGTCAAAAGTCATCAGATATATAGTGTGTTAAGGCTCACAATATGCTTTCTTCACAATTACCTTAAGTAGATATTCCAAGTATTACTAACTTCATTTTACAGATGAGGAAACTGAGACTCAGAGAAGTCAAGTGATTTTCCAAGTAATTATGAGAACCTGCATTTTAACACCAGGTCTCTTCTGACTCCAAGTCCAGCATCCTTCTTGTTATACCATGCTTATCCCTGTATGACTTGTCCACACACTATATTCTGGCGCCAATGAGCAGAAGAGGCAGATTCTGTCTCATTATGGAGAACTTCATTTGAAAAGGCTACCTCCTTAGCTTGGAGATATTTTAAGCAGAGGCTGGATAACCATTTTCTCAGGGATGTTGTAAAGGGGATTTGAACTAAAAAGTCTATAGTCTAAATAGTCCCTTCCAGCTAAAGGCTTCTGTAATCCTGGAGGTCAGGGACTGTGTCTTATGTTACCAGCACCCCAGCCCCCGAACTATTGTTCAATAAATACATCTTGACAGCAAGATATCAGAGGCCCTTCAGCTCCCTTCACACCCCCTCCTCACCTCAAGCATGTAGCTGAACAAAGCCCTTCCGAACTCTAAAAGCACCCACCCAAACAATATATAAAATTACCCAGGAAACTAGACCGAGGTAAAAATATAATGTGTGCGTGATACAGGCACCACCTGGCTTCTGGTCTTCAAACTGGACTGATTGACCATTAGCCGTGCATGTTGTTACAGGGTTTCATGGTGAAGTCCGAGTTGCACTGAATGGCCCCTGAGGTTCTTTCCAAATCTGATTCTGCGGATTGAAAACATTTCATTTCACTTTCTGATTCACTCAGGCTAGGTATCTGCTTTTGTGTTGTTGTTGTTTTTTAATTTGGATCTTATGATCTAGGGCTGTCAGTTTCAAGAAATGTATGCTAAGATTCCATTACAGCAAAATATTTTGGCCCTCTTTTAGAATGTATTTTAAAATTAAGTCTTGTTAAACTTTCTTTGTAGCAGTCTGTGAATGTGGAAACCTTTTGTTGTTTCACTGGAGAAAAAAATATTTAGGTTAATGAGTGTTAATAAAATTCTTGTGCTCAAAAAAAGCACTAGAGGCCAAGATCTATGAAGCAGTAGAAAGCATCGATTTCCCTTATTGCTTTATATTCAAATTATGTATTACTGTCAGCCAACTGCTATCCTCTCTCTCACTTGTATTTTCAAAAACAAATACAGGTACGACTTATAGCTATGCCTGAGAATGTTCACATGTAGTATGAAGCTTGCCCTTAAATGACAATGCCAAACTAATGATGGGTCTTGGAGCTAAGGAGGATAGTGAGACAAATCATTCATATGCACTCATGCAACAAATTCAGTCTTTATTTAATTTTCCCCTTCACTTTATGAGGAAACTCTTAATTTTCTGAAAGCAAATGTAAAATCTGGACATTTTAAATTATAAGGTAGTGTTATAAGGAAAAGGAAAAATAAAAGTACTTTTTAAAACAAAGTTCAAATGTTATTTTTGGGTTTTAGTTATTATACTTTCCAAATAATGATCACAAACCCCCTTTCTTGAATGCTGTGCAATCTATTACTTTTTTCTCAAGTCTTTCCTATCTATATCCTATTATATACCTTCTACTTTGTTATTAATAACTGTATGCCTAACAGCATACATTTTTTCTAAGGAACTAAAACCAGATTTTTAATTCCTCAACTTGTGACCCTAATGAACTGGTAGTAACAGCTATTTATAACAAAACTAAACTCTAGAGCAGTGTTCTCCAAAATTGGGACTATGGCATGGTCCCTAGGCTGTGGGATCACTCAGTCATGGTGGAGTGAGAAGATGGGTTCAATCTCAACCTTTTCACGATAGCCAATCATAGGCCTGTCTTGCACGCAACTACACCATTCCCTTCACCCATTGCCTCTCAACATTGCCTCTGCCCTGCCCTGTCCCACTACACCGGGCAGCCCGTAGCAACTGCAGAGGCAAAGCTGTCATCCCTTGACCTAGTACCTGCCATCATAGGAATCTCAAGTCCGACTTTGTGGAACTGTCCTCATAGCACCTCTATTTCTGGTGAAAGGGCGAGTTGAACAAGATGAGCAGGCATGGATGGACTGCAATCGGCATTGCAAGTTTTCACATTCCATCTTCTCAAATTACTCTTCCAAGCTTCCTCACCACTATGAAGGGCAGTACCACTGTTCTTCCAGTTGCCTGGATTCACAACCTCAGTGTCATCATTGACTCCACTCTCATGCACATGTCCAGTCAGATGCCAAATGTTATTTCTGCCTCCATGGCATCTCTCACAGGAGACCACTGCTGTCCACATAGCCACACCATCATAGTTCAGGCCCTTAGCATCTCTCCCCTGGGCTATTACAATAATCTATTGGTCTCCCTGACTCAAATTTCTCTTTAATCCTCCTCACAGTGCCAAAATCATGTTCCTCAAGTGCAGTTCCATCGATGTCACCCCCTTTTAAGACTCCTTGTTAGGGCAGCTAGGTGGCACAGTGAATAGAGTCCCAGGCCTGGAGTCAGGAAAATTCATCTTCCTGAGTTCAAATCTGGCCTCAGACACTGGACAGGTCTCTTACACCTGTTTGCTTCAGTTTCCTCATCTGTAAAATGAGCTGGAGAAGGAAATGGTAAACCACTGCAGTGTCTTTGCCAAGAAAACCCCCAATGGGGTCATGAAGAGTTGGACATGACTAAACAACAATGAAACCTTATTTGCTCTGGGATCAAATATTATTTCACCCTTCTTTAATTTACATTTTTGTGTAAGTTATATAGTGCACACAAATAGTACAGTAGTAGCTGTACATAATTATTATAAGTAAACATACATATATTGGGGTGTATGCTCAAAAATTTTTTTACTCATGGAGTGAATGATCAAAACAGTTTGGAGACCACCCACTGCTCTAGAGTTTCAGATGAGAGTGGGAAACCTTCAGATTTGTGTTACAGACTTTTCATAAAACAAAATTTTTAAGAATAGTCTTGAAACCTTGAAGATTTTAATTTCTAACAATGGAATATGCTTTGACCTGACTTCAATTTAATCGCTAACAAAACAGGTAATATTTAAAATAGATCAATAGTTCATTTGGGTTTTGTAGTCAGGATTCATGATTTCTTGGTTTGTATAATGTAAGAATAATCTACAATAAATAGTTATCTTATTGCTATAGTTGCAGGTAGTTTTTCTTCGGTACTAAAAGTATCTTGAACCCATAAACTACATCTAGAACATCCTTGATATGCTTAGAGGAAACTAGCATCCATTTAAGTTTGGGGTTGGGGGGAGCTTTTCATCTCAGTACTGAAAATAATCATTACTGGAGTAATTTTACTTCATGGTGATAAAAATCACTATGAATATCTAAATACAAGATGGCTTTTTATAGATTTCATACTAGAATAGAATTAGAAGCAGCCATCTTGACTATTAAATGCATTATACAGTAAGAGAAAAATAATTAGTCCACTGACAAAGTCATTCCATAGCAAATAATGTATCTATTTGCTCTATCATTTGGGGATCTAGATAAGTGACTCCTTCTGTGCTGAGCTGAAATTCCAAGTATTCTTGGTATACTGGTGATTTTTACAGAAAAACAAAACTAAAGGAATGCAAAATAAAATGTAAATAAATGAGGTTTTTTAAGAACTGTCTAGTAGTAATTTTAAAACATAAAGTAGTTGGCTTCATTCTGTGACAAACAGCTGAAGTTTTCTAAGGCTATAGCATTTTTCTACATTTTGGGGAAACAGTAAAGACACAGATATACCC